AGGGTGATCCGAGTTCTATAATTGGATAGAATAAGGATACACCCCCATCCTATCCTATAATATTTGAACATATAAGCTTATATCTACACAAGTTGTTTATTGTATCTATTAGATGTTGCCCATTCACCATAGAATCATTAGTTCAACTCTCATATATATGGAAGCCATTTTTTGTTCATTTTATATCTGAAATCGATTCGAATTTGATCCGAATATTGGCAAATCAAATTCAAATCTAGGTATATGGATTCGGACCGATCCGTTTACAGCCTGGTTTCTTAGGGTTTTGCAGTAGATAGAAGTCAAAACAGTAATGTCTACTCAAGTTTCTCTTCAAGCAATTAATTAACACAAGTTTGATGCATAAGGTGAACACTGAGTAGAACAATGGTGACTCTAGGCTGTAGATACTGAGTAGAACAACTGGCTATAGTCATATAGGGGGACCATCAAAAAACTGTTGGACCCTTGGTTTGAGGTTATAGAAGGCATCCTCACAATCAGCTCGCTCAGACTTTTCTTCCTGGAAGGACACAGCTCATTCAGCATTGACTGCTTCAGGATTCAGTGTACAAGATGAGATGATTAAATGTTTAAAATTACTCAGAATTAATTAGGTGAAGTTTTGGATCACAAGTTCAACTTGCAAAGGAGGCTTTCTGTGATTTGTACAGGCATTCAAATCTGCACGGGGCTATGTATTTCTGTCCCCTACACTTTGGCTTATTATACATCTTTGCTCTGAATTATTTTATTCTGTATTTGTCCTAGGCCAAAGGTATTCTGCTCCATATGGTCCAGACTGCAAGCTCTAGAGAGGGCAATTTTGAACAGTCAATGTTTAAGATTAGGACAAAGAGTCACAAAACCAAGGGAACCAATTCCATAGTTTACCCTATTCCACCATTTGGATTCATTTTTATAGCCCATAAGAATTCAGAAATTAGTAGATTTTAGCCCCTTTAATTTACGGTCTTTTAGGGGTCTCATCTTTTGGTCTAATGGGACGGTTTTTGGTCTTCCGGGCTTCTAAAAGCCCATTAAATCTTTCAAAAAGATTTGCCAAACAGGGTCTTAATTAATGAAACATCATTGCTTGCTGAAGCGTGGGCTGTTAAAACAGTTGCACTATTTCTACAGTTCAGCACATTCAATTATGAATGCAAAGACCCGTGAAAGATATTATATCTCTAATCCAGCACTCTTACAATTTACTCATTTCACAAGCAAACTACGCTATCCATAGCTGCAGAAATGGTTGCTCAGAGAAGGAATGCTGAAAAGATTCCTAACTTAAAAAATAATTTAAATTCAGGGGCATATTGATTAAAATAAAATTTTTGGGTAAAATAATTTCTCCCGATACCAATGCTTCATCATGCATTCAGCAGTTGAGTTCCGATCTGCTCCACTTGTTTTCATTGCACTACTCGCTATGCATTCTCATTGAATCTGACAAATGTTTCTAGTATAAGGATCAAAATATCGATATTGAGTATTGTATCAGATAGCTCAAACTCAAATACTGATGAAGGATATGAAAATGCTTGGATACACTAGACAATGTATATAAATGACATATATACATTAATAATAATAAATTTCAAGTTGAATTATCTATGTATAAGATATAAATGTAATAATTATCACTCTATTTCAGTTTTATAATTATAATTTCACTTTGTTTTGATAAAGTTTATTTAATAATAGCTCTATTTTTCAAATAATAAATATATTTTCATTTTTAACATGCACTTTATATATAAAATAAAACATATAAACATATAAATCATTTAAGGCATATAAAATAAATTATTATAAATTTCAGTTTTTATTAAAGTTTGGTAAAAATTAATTCTTAGTTTTTATAATTATAACTCTATTTCAGCTTTTACAATTATAATTTTTAACTTTTATTAAATTCCAAAAACAATCCAAAAATGGTCAATATACAGAGTAGTACATGCACCGGGCACCGATATGCTTCCGTATCGGTATGCATAGGACTATATCTACTGATGTAGTATGATACAATCTCATTCAAAGGTACTGATACGTTCAAATCATGTGATATAAGCCTTATCATAACATCATAGATACTAGTACAATATGTCCTATATCAAATATATTATATTAATATTTTAATCCTTGATTTAAATCGATTACTATGATAATACTACCTACAAATCTACCAACTTACAAGAAACTGCAGTTATATAAACTAGGGCTGTTCACGGGTTGGGTTGGGTTGGTTTACTGGGGTTTTCCCAACCGACCCAACTTGGTCGGGTTACCTGAGATGGAAATCGAAACTGACCTGATCGGTTTGAGTTGGGTTGGGTCGGTTTGGATCAGTTTCGGTTTTGCTCCTATACAAAAAGGACATAGAAGCCTAGAAGGAAATATCTATTCTAAAAACTGAAGTTTTTAAGATATTTTCTGGAAATATATTTAAAAAGTTAGAATTAGAATAAAAGACAAAAGTTATCAAGAAAATAGAAAGTCAAACTGTTTTATAGAAAAAAGGCTGAAATTTGTATATTTCAATAAACTTTCTAAGTTCTAATTTAAGTAAAAAATGACACCTAATTCTAATTGGTTGTCTATTTGGTATAAAAGACTATAGAAACTAGGATAGAAACAATTTAGTTAAATAGGAACTAGAAGACTAAGTTAGGTTGTAATTTGGAATTAGGATAGAAGCAACTTAGTTAAGTAGGAACTAAGTCGGTTCGGTTCCGGTTGATTTCGATTTTCTTCGATTTATGAATTTGTACAACCCAAAACTGACCGATACTTATGAAAACCCGGCCAACTCGAGTTAGATCGGTCCGGATTAATCGGTTTAATCAGGTTGGGCCTTCTTATGAATAGCCCTAGTATAAACATCTCGAATTCTCGTTCACGTGGAGATGTTCAATGCATGACTGTAATGTCTTGTGCGTAGCAGATTCAAGCTCCATATACATTGATATCTACCCAGGTGTAATGAAAGAGTCAGCATCTGTTATCTGCAATATATTTGCTAATACACCCTACCCACAAGACTCTCGTGTGTGGATAGTGTTCTTGGTGGGTGGTAGAGATCCTGATTCAACAATTAAATAAGCCTTGCAGTTGCTAAAAAGGCCGATACAATGGTAGGGGCGTATTTGGGCAATATCGATAGTGTTTTTTAATTTATTTTTTATTTTTATTAAAATTGATTCATAGAGGCATATCCCGAAACAATACATATCGGTCAATACGAACCGATACATGTCGCAATTTTAAACTTGAAATCTTAATTTTCAGTATTCCGCTTTCGGCTACTGTTTCAGTCGTCGTTATCATGCACCACCTTGGACCCTACTTATCCCTTTTTATTTGCTTTGAGTCAGCATCTACTTTCCCATCGTGCAGGTTGTGCCAACCCAGAAACTTCAACAAAACAACTATTTTTAGTTTTTAATGAAATAACAAATACCGAACCATTTAATGAGTTGAAAGATCTTTTACAGATGTTAAGCATGTAATTCTTTTTTTCCTGTAAGCCTTACAAATCCATCTTACACCATAAATCTGGAATACTGTAGATCAGACGCACTTGGAATATGACACAATATTCCAAATCTGTGGTCATGCATGGAAGTAATTGAATTGAATAGAATTCTATGTCTAGCTTTGCTTTGAGTATTGTCTCCTTGTATTTTTTAATTTCTCAAGTCATACAAATGAACTAGGGTTAGAACTTAGAAGCTGTCCCTTCTGGCCAAGTAAGGGTGGCAAATGGGCCAGAACTTGTCACATGAGAATAAGAGTGGGTGATATAACTAAAACACATGGGCCCACTTTGGGCCGCCACCTCAACATCCATGCATGAAGGTCATGTATAAACAAGATCTCAAGCCTATTGTGTCTCAGCATAGCTGGCTTCTCTTGTATTTATTCTCTGCTTTCATAAGATGCTTTGCTCCCTGACTTATGCAGCCTTGGCTTGTTTTCGAGATCAAAATGACCAAAGTACCCTGGATAACATCAGGATTTGCCATAACAATGCAACGAATAATTAAAATAATTAGAGGGCATTTAGATATTTGCAGCCACCAGTTTTTTTGGGTACAATGTCAGGGTGTACAAATGCAAGGAATCTGAATTATCATTGACAAAAACAAAAAGGAGACACAGTGAGGCAGATAAAAATGCCAAAAAAATAGAGACACGTGTAAAAAATATCTTTACCAATATAACCTTCACCACGGAGTCAAATGGTTATTAAGGGGTCTTTAGCTCAATGTGGGCTGGGCCCAGGAACCTCTAAAATAGGATTAGTGGGCACAAATCCTGGCCGTTGATTTATTTTTTATTCTATCCTATTAATTAATGCTTTCTATTGTAAAGAGTTTCTTTTTTTTATTGCATATAGAAACATAGAGGTGACTAATAAATGATGGGGAGAGGGGAGAGGGGAGAGGGGAGAGATGAACTGGTGGGCCCTATTTACATTGTGGTGGGCCTTACCACCATCGTGTAGGCATCTTCTTTTGACATTAAGTTTATATAGAATTGAGAAGAAAAGAGGTCCACAACAATCCCCATCATTTACCTATATTTCATAACTACGTTATTAATAAGTTAAAACTGTACGCATTGTGAATTCCTCATGAATCATGACTCTCTAGAAAAATTCAGTTGATCAGACGTTCAAGATTTCCCAATGAAGACCTGGTTTAATCAGATCTTCTCTTCTTGGGTGGGAGTGGGACCTTGGATTGAATGAATAAAGACATGTACCATGTTAAACTGAGACTCTTTCTATCATAGACAATGGGATCTGGTGTTCCCAGAATCTCTGCAACTCTGATTTCTCTCTCTGAGCTTGAAGCCTTGAATTTCTGTAGACTATTACTGTGGCTATCTTGAGAAGAAAAGTTATTTGATCTCAATCTTCTAGGCCTTGTTTGGTTAAGCAAAGCAATTAATTAATTAACAATAACAATGCCTTCCACGACAACTTAACATGTGAAAATTATTAAACTATAACTTAATTTATTTATAAACAACAATATTTGTCAAATTAAGAGAAAAAATAAGTCTCCTCCACGATAATTGAGGCACGTTTTGTCATTTTTCGTACCAAAGGAAGCTGACCCATTCAGCGAAAAGAAAGGAAAAAAAAGCCCAAGAACAGAAACATCAAGCATTGATACAGCTATAACAACATAAGCTTAATTACTTATCTATGAGTGTCGGCCGGTAATTTCACCCGGACCGGCGATTCAACAGATCGTAGGCAGCTCGGCTGGACCGAGGAAGAAGCACTTTGGATTCGGCAACAGCACAACTCCTCTTGCACGAAGCATAGAGATCAATGAACCCAAACCGGTCGATCAACGTTCTTGACACCTTTGTGTTCTTCCAACAGTCATCGTCACCCTCTTGATCCTTGGAACACTCCATTAACGCGGCGATGAAGGGATCTCTTCGAAGGCTGTCGTGGGAGTTCTTCTTTCGGATCGAGAAAATGGCGTCGAAGTTGAATCTTTTGGCAGGGATTGGAGTGCCAGCAGGCGGCAATGGGAGTAGAAACAGAGAGCCGTCTTTGTACTTGGACGACAGCGTGCGAGGAATTGTAGAGTTCTTGGGGATTCCGGGGTGTTTCTCCCACGAGAAGGGGATGCCGGAGAAGTGAAGCGACGAAGGTGCTGGGCTGGAAAGCAAGTCATCGGGGTTGGAAGAGGAGGAGGATGAGACAGAGGAAGAAAATGAGCGGAAAGAAGATGAGGAAGACAAAGATGGGCTCCGCCGGCGAGACGAGGGACGCTTTGTGGTCGGAGATGGAGTGGTGTCTCCCTCTGTTTGGAGGATATTTTCAGCTTGGCCGGTGGAAACTGGAGCGGAATCCATTCGTTTGCAGGAGGAGATGAGGGAGAAGCTTTCTTGGTTTCTCTTACCTCTCTCTCTTCCTCTGGCTTTATATTGTTCTGGCTCTAAATTGTACTTATTCTTTATATATAAACATATAGGCTTGATTTTTACTTGTAGAGTGTAAATGAAGGTAAAAGGAATATTATAACGAACAAAACGTCTCAAAGAGAGAGCTGTAGCTTGTAGAAGCCTATACCAAACAGAGAGAGAGAGAGAGAGTAGAAAGTAGAGAGACCCAGGAGAGGGCAAATGGGGTTGAGGAGTTACAGACTTACGGGTCAAATGGAGAACAAATGGTGGAGAAGGCTGGACGTGGCTATATTATGAGCCTGATTCCTCCTGCCTGAATAGTAGTTAGGTATAAATGGGTCGGGTTGGACATTTGACCCGATTAGTATGCAATGATTTACCATATCTACACTCCTAAGATGTGGTAATTTTAAAATGGGTTCGAAGAGCAATCAAATATTATTGAGTTCAGAGGGCTATAGACGCAGTTGTGCAAAAGAGGGGCAGAAAAAAAAAAAAGGAAAGGAAAAGGTGATGGCAACCCTTGACCCGAAAGATGTCCTTTTTGCCACAAATGAAGGGATCTTTTGGCATTTGATGGGTACTCGGGTTGCCATTTTGTCACTGTAATAAAGACCCATCTAGCCGATGCTCATCCGGTTTGGATATTGTTGTCTGGACGTGAGGCCAAAGCAAGTATGAGCTTTATTTAGCAGATATACATTTTCTTTTGAGAAGTACGGAAAGGCCTAATATATATTTATGATTTCCGCTGCAGAGTTATAAATATTGAGAATGTCAAAAACTTCTATTTTATCCATCAATGCCCACCCATGAATTGGTATCAATATTGAGCTGGCACCCACCTTAATTATACTTTGGGTTTAAACATTTTGACCCTAGGCTAAACCGTCACTCTCCCTATTTTTTTTATATCAGATCATTGTAAACCAAAATTAAAGACGATTTTTATTGCCTATTATTAATTAATAATAAGCTATAATATGTATATCTGTTTTATGCAAATATTATCAGACTTTGATCCGATATAGAACCGTTTTGGTCACTGGGTCATGGGTTGAATGGTTCAATAATCCAGTTTAACTATTTGATTAATTTGAAAAAAAAATAAAAAAAATAGAATTATGAAAAAATATATATAATTCTATATTATCTTTTAAATCTATTTACTTCAGGATAACAATGAATAAAATACTAGAGGTTACAACTTACAACAGCCATTAACATATGTGCTTGGATTATCTTTGATCAAGCTAACATTTCTAAAAACTGGGCATAAAAGAAAAGCAATTTGGTCTTTCGGTTCCTGGTTCAAACGGCCCGACCATCCTATCCAAGTCTGGCAACACCATTTTATGTAATATATTAATATATGTTAATAGACTTATAGCATCTAAGCCAGCTGAGCCCACCCAATGACCCAAGCTTCGGAGTTGGGTCAGGCTTGTGTAGCCAAAGAAGGTCAAGACCAGTTTTCAGGCTTAGCCCAGAGTCAGACTAGCCTAGCTCAAGAAGGAGCTAACTAGGCTTATTTGCAGGTCCACATTTCCAAAGCCCAGTTGATCCAAGCTCGTAATCCGCACATCGGATCCTGGTCATGGGTCTGTAATGTGATCCGAATTCCATATCCGGATCCCATGTACTGGTGAAATTCATTCAGACACTAATGTGGGCAGTTCCATTTTTAATAGAGGTACACGCTTAATCATTAGTCATCAAATATAGCTTTAAAAGACAAAAATATCCTTATATTTACAAAATCACGGAACTGCCCTTTATATGCTCTCAAATCGACTGAAATGCCCTCTTCACCATAGAGTTGACCAATGGTACATATGCCCAAATGAGGACAAAAATATGACCATTATTCTATTTTTTTTTTTCAACATAATAATATAAAAGGATGATAGCAATAGCATGTGACCGGGGGGTCCTGGCGCCTTGCCTCTGTTATTTGTCGCGTACTGATTTTTGATAGACTGTAACTACCATCTGCATTAGGCATAATTCTACGAGGTTCGGCTTCGGTCAGTGGAGGTCCGTGCTAACACCATTCCAACAGCCTCTTCGCATTAACATTTCTGTATGAAATAAAGCATATAGGCTGTAAAGACTGTTTGAATGGGCTTTGTACTCAAGCTGAATTTGATTCTATGTATTTGGGATTTATTAACAACAAAAATTGTTTTAACATATTTTTGATATGTGTTCGTATATCTCCACTCGGAATCTACTATCCATTATAAATTGTTCGTACATTTGTATTCATGGAACACTATGGCTATGTATTGAAAACATCTTTCCATGAATGATAAGGGAGATATTTTCATTGTATTAACTGTAATTATTCGTGAATAAGAATGTGAGAACAACTTGTGAATAGAAGATCTGAGCCGATATTTCTCACCATGAAATTGGATCCATTATGTTTGCAATGTATAGACAGAGATCATGTTGGAATATGCTTAAACAGCTTTTTGTTTTGAGCAGCATTGAATAGGCCAAGATAAATGTCTATAATCTTCATTGCTGCATCCATCAGACCGACCGGCTGGAATGCATGAACTCTCAAGTTCAACAAGCCCGTATTTGGTCCAACCCAAACCCAAATTTATATTCTATACCTTTTTTTTCTTTATTTTCTAACCTTTTGTTCTAGGGGTGCAGACCAGGTGTCCGATTTGAAGAATCCACATTGCATCAGGTCTAAGACCTCAGGCCGGGATCCTTTAAATTTTGAAAGAGGAAAATAAATCTATACAAGGTTTATAAAGGTTTTCTTATCTTTCTCTTTCTTTCCCTACCTTTTACTTCAAACCAAACATATCCTAATGGCTATCGAAATTAAACAGCCTCGTTGTAGTTTTTTTCTTGTTAGGTCACCCAGATTCCTTGTAATACTTTTTTTCTCTCTCTCTCTCCTTTTTTTTTTTTTTTTTTTTCTTCAAAGGGACTCACCATCGGTTGGTAAACTCCTTGTAACATTATCGGTTTCGATGGCGATAAGCATGAAATGCAAAAATAGAATTTTACACGCTTCTTAAATGACAATATAGTATTTTTAATTATTTCAATCTGATGTTTCAGGGTTAAGCATGTTAGAAGGGGTTCCTATTAAATTTTTTGATACTGGAAAGAGATGACATCAGAAGGATTTTGACCAATCAACCCCCTCCCCTGTGAATTTTGATGTAAACCCACCAAACTTGTTACCATTTTTATAATATTGGTTGAGTGGTTATAAGAATCTGTTTGATTTGTAGTTGAAATTGGAATTGGAATTTATAGAAATGAGAATGGGAATTAGAATCAGCAGAAATGAAATTTCATTTCTTAGGGATATTTCTATCATTCCAATAGAAATGAGAATGGAATTCCGATTTCCGTTTAACCAAATATTTGAAATCAAAATAACCCATTTCAATTCCAATTGCAGACCCTATGTTTAACCAGCACTTGAGTTGGTTAAAAGACATGTATATCATACATAATGTGATATTTTGAATCTTGGGCTGAGTTTGGAAGGAATACAAATGCAAATATATAGAGTGTAAAACCTTATATTTTTTATTATTTTATATGTATTTACGCTTTATATTTATACTCTTTCCAAACTGAGCCTTATAAACTAATGAATAACCTTCTTGGCAGTTAGGATGTGAAACGTAGACAACCAAGTAGAGACCCTACCAGCTGTGACCTTCATCGGACAAAATTGAATCTTTACATTACGACAAACAAGGTGAATTGTTTTATAGAGGCGCCAATCTTGGGTGTTACACTTCTAGATCTCGAGCCAAATCCCAATTTCGCACTCCAACGGCTGACCTCTGACCAGCATGCGACTCATTAAAGAAATGAGAAAAGAAAAATGGTAGATTAAACCAATGGACCACTTGAATTGAGCCAGTTAGATTGCTTAATACACCAGTTTTACATCGTTCAGTTTTTATATGAATTATCATAATAACCCAGAAAGCCCTCGTGTTCATCATTTTGTCTCGAAAAGTGAAAGGAAAAGAAATTCGTTTTCTTTCATTCTCAGTTTTTTTTTTTTCTCTCCCTTGTAACGTGGGTTAATTTGGGTGAGTACTGACTGGTCTGACCGGATTGGTTCTACAGCTGCAGTGGTCTTGTCGACTTCCTGTCTGGGATTTAGGGCACTGAACCCAACTACTCACAAGCATACCAGAAGGACATTCACTGCAAGACCATCAATATGTGAATCTGTCAATTGTCAGTTAAAATATCATCCACAGATTCCCCCAGAAAGGAGACAAGTAAAATGATAGTGAAATGAACCCCAAACCAAGATAGATTGATTGAGCTACCCATTTTTCTTTTGGTAGAACAATCTGAACCAATCCAAGTCAGTATTCAGGAGACAGGAAGAATGGCTCTTATAGAAGAAGAGAATTCATCAATGAGAATTCAAAATATTAGCAACTACACCTTCTCTCTTTTGGCCACATGGTGTGGCAGTCGGAATGTTGTCTTAAACACCCATTTGCTGCCACAATGTGAATGAGTAATCGGCAACTTTTGTGAAGAGTGGGATTCAAGATGCATGAATGTACTATAGAAAAAATAAGCGTCTGTTTGGCATCAATATCGTTGCTCCAGAAAATGGTAATACATCAATGCTACGTTGGAAAAAAACGGTACTTTAGGAAATGTCAATATGTTTGGAATTGGTTTTTCATAAAAAATAGTGCTTTAAGACGTCTTGGAAATCGAAAAGGTATAGTTTGGAGCAACGCCAAATTTAATATTTTTTCGTATTGAAGTTTGTTGCTGCTAATGAGGACATAATGTGACAATGACATGAACTTCCTATAATGGGTATCGGTGTTGAAAACAGATATGGAGCACTGGTACTACACAGAAGGTATTGCTGCTGCTCTAGGAAACGTCCCACCTATAGCAATATTTTCAAAAAAAAAATACTGTTTTGGCATAAAACAGTACTTCCAACCCACACATCATCAGCATATTTGCAACATCGATGCCAAACATATACTAAATTACTCTACCACCAAAAATATT